ACCCTTTAGGCCTGAACTACCGTGAAATTACAGCTTCATCACTAATTAAAATTGATTTCGATGGAAATACAATTCATCCAGGTATAGTGGGTGACATCATGGGAATAAGCAGAACTGGCATCGTGATCCATTCTTGCATTCATCGGGCTCGTCCGGACATTCACTGCGTGAACCATAATCATCATTGGGCTGTAGTCGGGCTCTCGGCAACAAAGAGTGGAGTGATCGAATTGTCACAGACTATGCATGTGGCTGGAGAGATTGCATATCATGACTACGAGGGTATTTCTGTATCAAACGATGAACAAGAACGACTCGTGCGCGATTTAGGAGACAAGGATGTAATGATTTTGCGTAATCATGGCTTGCTCACTTGTGGACCATCTATTGGTGCTGCATACTATCGTGCGTATCTGGTATGCACTGCTGCAGAAATGCAATCGCATGCATGCTCTATGGCCTTCAACAAGGGTGATTTACTCATACCGGAAGATCGACTCGTCAAGCTAAACATGGATATAGCTGAGAATTTTAATCAGACTTCATTCGGTACTTTGGAATTTGTTGCTGCTATGCGTGAACTTGACTATGACCAAGATCACTCTGCTTATCCGGACTACCGAAACTGAATAATCATGTGACTTTTTTTTATTGACTATTGGTTTCGTTTTCCATCCTCTCCAAAAAATAAAAAAATAAAAACCAATCTATCCATAATTCGTAATTAACCTCTGTGTAAAAAGTCTTTGCAAATATCTCTATTCGATTTTTGTCCACTTACCGATTGCAGGAGAGAAATAAAAGTAGTCGGTTATAACCAGAATTTGATGCTCTTTCTAAATATACTTTCAGAATTTTACTTTGACTTACGGCTTGGCAGCTGTAAGCAAATACCTGAATACATAAAAAAATCTCATTTGCATCACACAAAAACGCAGGATATCTTAGGTCAGGATTCGAGTATTTCTTGAATGAATCCGCTATGAGGCCGATTCCAAGTAGAAGTCGACAAGCTCTATTGATTTCAGGGTCCTTTATTCCAAATGAACCTTCCTTGCGATATAAAAATGCTAATTACTGCAAAAAATATGCAAAAAGAAACAAAAAGGCTAGGAAAAACCTGAATGGATTCGTCCATAGATCGATTCTAATAAAATCAATCATGGTTTCAGATAGATCTCAACATGTTCTATCGATTCCACACATTATTAGTTAAATTCTATCAAGTACACTTAAGTAGAAAAAGTTTAATTAATCATTTTTACATTTACAGCGTAGAAAGAAAATTAGCTATTGGATCGTTTTGATTTTTTTATGTTGCATGTATGAATAAAGAAAGAAGATACAACGATTGTTTTTGTAGTGCGCTGCATGGTGTGTATTTTGATCAAGATATCAAATTCGCTATGGGGTGCCTTTTTTGTCTCTATGCAATACAAAGATAGTATTGACAGTATTTGTCTCTGACAACAGATTACTTATGAACGTCTGTTTCATGTTTGATCGAGATTTTGCTCTTTATTTAAAATTTTTTTTTTACATCTATTTGATATATTAGAGTGTACGAGATTTATTATATTCATTGTTAATTTTTTTTGAGTAATTCACAATAGATTGAGAAAAAGTTTAATACAAAAAAGATTACACACTAATCATGTCCTGTACAAACGATTCAAGGTTGTTTATTTCGGTTTGTAGTTTGTATTCGATAAATTTGATGATACGAAAATAAGGGTAACGACGAGTAGAACGAATCGAGAATCGCAATTTATGAATGAAATGAACCCATCTATCTTCCACTCGCAGTATAATGGCACGATTGAAGAATATTTACCAGTTCGTATGAGTTTTATCAATAATATAACGAGACTTGTACTCTTGGAGCGACTATCAGAGCTATTATTTGAAACTTTTTATTTACTTCAACACGCATTAATAATCATGCTTTATGACAGTCTTCATAACAAGAAAAAGCAAAATAACAATGACAGACCAAAATAGAATCGATGTCGAAAAAGTTTTCAAATAAAAAGAAAGATCTAGAAATTGCAAAAGAAACTCTTTCTTATTTATGCGAGTAAGTTATACAATGGTTATCGCAAGCTGACCCTCTGTACGGCACCTTGAAAGAAGCAGAAGCCTTTGCATTTCTATGTTCTTTTTTGCATTTTGAAAGCAGATGTATTCGATTATTTTTGAGTATTTCTTTCTCTTTCTTATCGCTTTACATCATTTTTTCTGTTCTCTTTTATGCTCTTATCACTTGTGCCTATATAGAAAAACGAAACGCAGTCATCACACTACGTGTTGAAACGAAATAAACTTTGTCTTTTCTCTTGCTTAACCTCGTTTGTAATCACAAAATGGATGCTCGCAAACCACTCCACACTGGCGGTTGTCAATGTGGTTCAATTCGCTACTCCATATTTGCACCTCCTTCTCTTCCTGTTACCATCTGTCACTGTCGTATGTGTCAGAAAGCACTCGGCTCCCCATTCGGTGTTTTTGTCGCTGTTAACTTGACAGACTTTCAATGGACACGTGGCTCTGTCACCTCATTTCAAAGTTCATCAATTGCCCATCGTCTCTTCTGCGCTCGATGTGGTACTCCTCTGGCATACCAAGCCAAACAGAAGCCTGTTATCTCTCTATGTCTAGGTAGTTTCGATCAACCACAACAATTTGGTAAACCACAGCGGCAGATTGGAGTAGAAAGTTGTCTTGGAGAATGGACTCTGTTACAAGATGTCGATAGAAAGACAACTGATCAAGTAATCAAGGGCACGGTCTTTGGTTATCAGCACCCAGATAAAGAGACAAATGAAGAGGAATGGCAGTATATGTCAAAGAGCAAGTCGACAGAGGGACAATAAGAATAATGAAATTTTTAGTTGTTGAGAAAAATGCGAGTGATTCTGTCAAAAAAAAAGATATTGTAATCCTTGTAGTTTCAGCTTTCCTTTTTTTGTGAATTTTATTCAGACAATGACGTTAGACATCACTTTTTTTTATTTCTAAATTAGATATACTTATCATAACCAGGAGGTCTTTTTGAAAAGTTCTTTTACAGACTAATAAAAGCTTCCTCTACCAGCAGCGCCTCGTTCGCAAGCGCTAGCACAAATGAAACTAGTGCTTGTTCAATACATTCGTGATTTGAAATCTGGCTATGTAAAATCGAACGATCGATTAAGTCTAATGCATACCATTCTCTCCTCAATTAAACATGTGTTTCTGACAATTGTAATAAACGATTTTCTAATTACAGATTCACATCTTTCATGAATATTAAATATTTTCCACAGTTATTCGATAATCTTTTGATGCAACAGTAAATGCTAACCATATAATTAAAGTGCCAACAGCTTGTTCGTATTCTTCGATCATCTCATCCGTGATAGTTGCACCACGATAAACAATTTATAGAGAAATGTCTCAGCGAAATAAAGACATGCAGCACATGCATATATTTTTCTTTGTGACTTTTTAGTTCTACTCACTAGCATCAAAATGACGAGACTTCTTTCATTTATTTTATCAGTCGAATTTGAGACACAAAACCAAATGAATAGTAAGAGCAGCTAAGTTGTCAAACAATGGACGTGTTGAACTTTTGACATTAGATGGCGTTGATAGTGAAGTAGATTCGTTTTCGCATATGTTGCTCTGTTTGTTGAAGATTTTTGATAGATCGCTCTGTCAGTCAATGAATATAGAGTGAATATTCTTTTTTTTTAGCGGAGAAAAACATTTTTCTTCTCTCGAGCCATCCCTGGAAAGAGTAACGAGCAAATGAAGTTACTATTCAACTGAAGAAAAAACCAAGGATCTTCACCTTGATTCAGTGTGGGCGTGAGTGTGGATATTTATCTAAACCGACACCCACACCCTTCCCACCTTTTTATGACAACAAAACATTTCGCTCGGCATTAAATTACCAGCCACGGTCAGATGATATCTTTCTTTCTGTGTATCGGAAATCGGGCATGACATGGGCACAAATTATGTGATAGATAGTAATGAATCGTGGCAAAAGATTCGACAACAGTATGGCTGAATATTTTACTCGTACGCCTTTTCTTGAATTAATAGCTGAGCGATGCTTAGTTGTCACGCGGGTTTTTTCGTTTTTGTTTTGAATGTATCTTGTGTTAAGTTGACTGTTTTTTCACTAATTCGTCGGCAATACGAATGATTAGACTGATCGAGGTGAAAGTTGGAACAATCTGTTCGAGAAACGTACTAGTTTTGTGTAATTCATCGCTTTCTTATATGTCTGTTTGTTACTTAGGTTTGTGAAGAATAAATATTCAAAACTGGTTCCAGTCTCTGAAATTAATGGAATCGGGCACTTCGGTTGCAAATGACTGTGATAAATATTGTTTTGACACACAATAAAAAGCTGACTTCATTCTCTGTCGATTACGTCGACGACAGTAACTCACGCATGTGATTAGGAGAAGATAAAAAAGAAATTCTATTCTACGTTATCAAGTATAGAACATTTCATATTATTGTGTCAGATACTGTTGTTATCACAACAGAAAAATTTACATAAGAAACCCAATATTGTTATGTTTGCACATTCAAGAATGAATCAACATTTAATAATCAATAGTAAACGATATTTCATCATATGGAAGCAATTTATATCTTCATACAAATCAGATCCATATAACCAGAAATTGTGTCTACCAATCAAATAGTCTGATGAAAGAATAAAAGATATGTCTGATGACGAACGTGCTATTTTTTTTTTTCACTACACTTGCGACAATGAAACCAACAGCTTCATATAAATTAGGAGGATTTCATTTCTATTCTTCATTATTGACTCACGAAGTATTTCATGTAAATGTCATCTGACATGACACACCGTTTTATCCGTTCTAATTTCAAGATAAAAAACTGAAGTAAATGTCCATATAAGCAAAAGAGTATAAAAAACGATGAAAAGAACCTCTCTTTCTTCATTTTTTCTTCTCACTACTACAGAAAACATGGCCTCATCATTATTATCAACATCTAAAGGTTCCGAATATTTTGGTCATCAAGTTTATGCAGCTGTTAGTCAAAAACACAATGGTAAAAATATATTTCTTTCGCCAGCAAGTATTGCTCTTGCTTTGTCAATATGTACAGTTGGTGCTCGAAAAGAAACATTAAGCCAAATGTTACATATAGACAAGTCCAACTCAAATTAGTTAATCGTCTTTTATGCACAACAAGCATATAAACTTCAACAAGATTATGTAAATCTTGTTTAAAATTTTTCTCAAGCTGATATTTACTTCTATCAAGTTTTTTTTTAATTAAAAATCGGAAATGAATGAATAAGAAAGTGTATACGCCTATCAATACAATCGGAAGCAAGTTATCATTTTATTTGTCTTAGATCCTTATTGTTTGTCATTACATATAATAGTGTTAGTTGTATCAAGATTTAATTCTTCTTTCTTTTTTCTAACGAAATATTTTATCAAGAAAATTTTTTTTTAACTATAATCTCTATTGTTTCTTTTTGTTTTAACTTATTTCATATGAAATTTATATCGAGAATTTCTTTAATAAATAATGCCTACCAAAATTATTTTTCAATTAATTTTTTATTATCTTAAAATCTTCAATAGAGAAGATTATTTATAACAAGAATAAACCATTAACAAATTCACAAAGATAAGATTCCCACACAACCCAAAACCTAATTATTGACAACCTAGAATGCAAAACTATCATTTTATTCAGTGTAAGTAGAAGAATAAAGCAAACAGTGCTATGCAAAATGAGATGTCTTCGAATTCTCTACGATGTTCTTTAGTTGAGATACAGCAATCTAATGGAAGTTTCAAAAATAGCTTTTGGATAGAAAGTAGCTAAAAAACTCATCAATACACTCCCTTTCGGTGCTAAAATATGGAACTTACAAACTCTGTTTAGCAATTTTTCGTCGCAACTTCATAGAGAGAGTATATAGTGACTGTTTTATAAATTCATACGATAGAATTCAGAAGCAGAATATAAATGCATCTGTATCTTAATGTGTCTATCAATAATTAGTATATCAACTAGCGTAAGAAATTAGACATGAATTCTTTAGAATAGTATTTGTTTGATAATTGAGTAGTATGTTATCAAAATGATATCAAATTTAACAATCATAGGAAATGTTTTATTTTGTGGACATTGCTTACAGAAAACGCTTTAATCATGGATGAATATATTCATGTTGAACAAAAAAAGAAATTAAATGTTTAGAAAAAATTATCAGGTTTTATGAAAAGATTATTATTTGATATAAAGAAACATGTTTAGTACGAATCAACATATTTGAGTCTAGGTTGCAATATTTAATGCAAAACATATACATTCAAATGAGTCTTCTTATTTATGTTACATCTTTTATGGTCGATGTCTTTAATAATTACTACATGTTACTTCAATATCGTCTTATATACAGAGAGTCAGTTAAGCGACCTCTGAATAGTTTAATACACGAGTTATTAATACATTATTCTTTATTAATTAAAAATTAAAATTGTTGTTATGTATACTTGAAATGACGTTTTATACAATATGCAATCGGCGTAGAGAAGAAATCAATTAGTTTGTTGATGATGGTCAATAATCATATTGTTCATTAGACAATAAAGATTATGACAACCTTGATACTGCTATTACACGATTGTTCCATATCACAGATCTTAGTATATGGAATGTGAATAGTGAAAAGCAAAATATTATTATATCTAGGGTGTGGTATGGGTCTAGTTTTTACCATATTCGCCTCCACATCCACACTCACACTTGTATACGAACCATAGCCGATTCCTGACATGACTGACAATTACCTTTGCTGGAAAGAAAATTCCAACTAAACATTTTCTCTTAGTACCTCGACAGCAGTTCTACAGTACATTATTTTCCGTGCATTTTTCTATCAATATTTATTTCTTTCCATTTCGAACTACTGCTTGATGCTGACATTATTTTTTCTATTCTAATTTCACGTTTATTCTGCCATTTATAATTTCTGAAGAATAAGATGCGGGTATTGTTGAGCGTTGGTGGATGTGGAGTCAGTGTGCGTGTGCCTGTGGCAAAATAATAGCGACACACGCTCACACCCAAAACGTGTTGTGCAAGCGTTTCAACGTGTGTAAATGTGTTTATAATTAGAATTCTCACTCTTAAATCGTTTTGACAATTTTTTCTTCGAGTAGCTCAAAAATAAACGGTTAAAAACGTCTTGATTTCATGATTTTTTCAACAAAATACCTTTTAACCATATCTTTCCATTTCTATTATCAGAATATATTAAAACTAGGATGTCAGATTACTGTTATGTTCTTAGTGAGTCATATGGATCACCAAATACCAATTATGAGATAGTAGTAAGTGGCTAACAACTGAATTGAATAGAATTTGCCAATTCTGATTGAGAACAATCTTATAGATAATGTTGCTCTAATCGATATATAAATAAATGGATGCTGTATTTGTTGACCGAAAAAGATAGAGAAATATACTACGGCTTGTCTAAACGTAATGCTGTTACGTTTTTGACACACTTCTCTTTAATTATCTCGGAAAGTTTAAGAGCTAGAAAGTTTGTTCAAGCGCTATTCGACGCAGCATATCGAACTCTATCAATCGTATAAAAATCACCTTTTTTGGCTGAAGTCTCAGGTGTATAGAAAGAATTTATCATCGTGTAACGCTGTTACACAAAAAGACCCTTTTTCTCCAGTGTCTCCGAAAAAACTGCAATTTCTTGTGAAACTATTTCTCCAAATGAAACATTTCTAGAGTCAGTTTTGTAGAGCTTTGAACAGGCTTTCAAACGCTAAACAAAGTTTTCTCTAAACTACTTTTGCTTAGATAAAAAATACAAAACACAAACGTAACGCTGTGACACAGTTTTTTCGATAAAGATACATCAACTGCTAACCGTTCAACATTAGTCACTAATGATAGAAATAGTTTATCAATTAAACATCTTCTTGCCAATCCATCGCAAATATTTATACGTTATTCAACATCATGTGAATCAACTATATTTACAAACACTAGTGCATCAATTATAATATGTTTATTACAACCAATGACATAGCCAAGGGAGGGAACAATGGGCAACTGTCCAGCGCTGTAAAATGTTGTTCAGTATGTATTCTCCATGAATCTGCTAGAGTTAAGAAAAATTTCTTAGCACTTTATGAAATTCAATAGAGTTGAATGTATCTTAAATTAATAACAAGATTTATACGCATTTCTCGTTGGCATCCTGATCTAATTATGCATTTGTCGTAGAGTTTAATTCGAATGGAATATAAAATTTCTAAGAGCCGTTCTTGGGTGTCCCAGAACTTTTTTTCGAGTGCTACTCTCTAGTACTAAGTACGAACTTGAACTATAAAATAAATGTTCTTGAAATGCATTCCACTGTATGAACTCAATGTATTATCTCGAAACAACAAAGTTTGGAATTTTTCTGAATAACAACAAAACAAATCATAGTGTAGGAAAAATCCTATTTTGAATTCTCTGAAACTCGAATGTATGCACCCGTTAATGCTTTCATACTCCAATTGAATGTCTGATTTTGCGTTTTTAAATTCAAGAATATGAATGGATTTATATGAAGAAAATAAAACGATCAAATGACAACGAAACATGAACAAAAATCGAACAAAAAAAGAAACTATAAAGTAATAAGACAGAAAATGGAATGAATATTTATGAAAACGAAGAATCAATAACAATAGTCTGGACTTTCTACTATGATCCAAAAAGAAAGATGTTCAGTTCTGATACTTCATACATTTGGATGCCGTTAATTGGTATGCTTCAGACCGATAGATGGAGGTTAAACTAAGTGAAAATAGAAAAGAAGATGAAAAACAGATGACATCAATAAAAAGAAATATGCAGGTCGTGCAAATCCTGCAGCCATATTCTCAGAATTTGGTTGAGTAGTTTTGTTGAACAAGGAGAGACACGCAATAGCTGCATCAATTTCACCACTAGCATACGGACGTCCAACAAAATATGTAAAGACCAAGGGTTTGATAATTTCATAATAATAATAATCATCATCCAATGTTGGATCTCCATGAAACGCCCATGTTGTCAGATCAGTAGATGATTTATGTCCTAATGTAAACGAACCGTTTTGAAGAAAAGTCCCAGTACCTAGTTGTCTGAGGGAAACGTGTGATACATTCGGACATCCTGGTAGAATAGTAGATATAATATCAGATGGGTCTACTCCACATACTGTATCATTAATTTCTTTTGTGAATGTCTTCAATATAGTGAGGATACTTTGAGAGCATTGGCTTCCCCAAAATGCATCGCAACCACCATTTCCAGTTTCCTGATCGTTCTGAATCTCCAGTGTACCCCAAGCATCAAATGAGAATCCAAAAGCAATGCATCTATCGGTTGAATTGATGTTCGTAGAGCCTTTTAACACTTTCAAAGTCTGTTTGAATGTGGTATTGAGAGGGCGCTGGTATGCGGATAAAAATAGATCGATCTTTGTTTCGTATAGGAAGGTCTTCGTAGATATCGATGCATTCGGAGTGACACCAGTGATGGCCGGATTACCTCCTATACTGCTGAACGATACAGGATAGTTTATCTCAGCCATTACACATTCGATTAAAAGAAAATTGAGTAAGGCTAATTTTGCGAACATTATATGATAAGATTGGTTGTATATGAGAAAATATCTTTCACAAAATACCGAACGAATAAATCGATGTTTGTAGGAAAGAAAGAAAGAGACATGATACTGAATGCTTATGACGTCAATGGATTAGTCAAATAATGAAACGATGCCTAATAATAGATCAGCGTAAATGTAGCTTTCGTATGAAGTAAATAAGAACAAAATAAACTATTTATGCGTTTTTAACCAGCGTCATGTGCGTCAATTAGTCACATCCTTTATTTAATTTGCACTCATTCACTCACCTTTCAGCTATTTCTCTTCTCTTTACTGTCAGTTTTAAATTGGTATTGCATTCAATTGTAATTGAACACGTCCATCAATGAGCAAGGTAGCAATCTACGCTTGTCATTATTGAACAAACGTATCTCAACAATCTTCTACTTATTCTCATAACTCTTTGAATACGGACGACGAGAATTCTCGTCCCTAAAATTTTGGACTTTGAATAGCTTTTAAAAATATGAGCTATTG